ATATAAGTCGTAGCGACGCATCGGGCTCGGTGACAAAGTGTAAAAATAAATCATTGCATGCCAGTACGTTTATTGGAGATTTAAACGCGCAAGTGAATACGCGGCATATCGTGTGAAATTAATCTTCAGGTGTAAATACTCGTCTGTAAGTCAGGATTTAGTACAGTGCAGCTATGAAAGGAGGTTTTATTTTATCGCTGGAAATTCCAGGCAGTAGACAATATATTTGAAAGACGGTTCGAGACCTCGTAAATCACTCCGCGCATTCGTTTCACTTGCTAAACATGTGGAACAGTGTATTATTGGAAAAACCAGCCTGAAAATAATATATCTCGACAACTGATTAGCGTGTTAATGTCATTAGGGGAAAATGACAGTGCATTTGTTATTCATATTAATTTAAGTGTTGTATTCACAATTGTTTTCTCTTCTTGTTAAACGGTTTGTAATGAGAATCATTTCAAATTTTCACGTGGCTTCGTTCTCATGGAATGCGTTCGTTCCATGCTGTTGGCAATCACCGCCGTTTCTATTCTCACTTCGTCAACCGGTCCGAAACCAGTCTTTTAGATTTTTGAGCCAACCGCGTTCCTTCTTCCTGGTCCCCTTTTTGCTGTGGACGTTAAACTACTAGATACTTGTTACGAACTTGTAATACTCGCACACGCACTCACTTATATCTCGTGGAAACGCTCTAACACAGTTAATAAGTATCAAATGGAGATAAGACAGAAGCGAGTATAATTAAAGTTATTTAAAAACATTTTGAAGTCTCAGATAGATTAAAGATATTATTTAAGTTGAATGAACATGAGCTATCGAAAGAAGGTTGAACATTTGCGTGAAAGGAACAAATCAACGTTTAATTAGATTCCCTTTTATTTTATAGTCTCTCTCTCTCTCTCTCTCTCTCTTGGAATTCATGTTAGTGGTTACCGTTTCACGGTCTACTACTACTATTACTACGTCCGTAGCTATGCACCTGTGGTTACAGCGCGTAAAACTCGAATGTTCCACGTCTTACTATAGCGTATGATCCTTCTTCTTCTTTCCATTACGGTGTCGACTTTCTCTCTCGATTTCGTGACCGATAACGCATATCGAGCCAGTTGAAAGCTAACAGGAAGTTCATTTCAGTTGTAATAAAGCGTCGCGTTAGTTACCCATTGAATACTTATTCCATATCCTTCTTGATTAGCTTTTCAGAATTTAAAAAAGACTGCTATTTCAAGAAATTTTCTTCTTGGTAGATATAAAAAAATATACTTAAAATTTAGTATAAACTTTATCAAAATCAAAGGAGTGAAAACCAGTTTGATGCTC